CTCAGCGGGGGAACCCACAGCACAGGACCTACCTATAGAAGGTGAGCATGCAGCCGGTGATGGTCATGTTCATGGGCACCTGGGCTGACATGCGGCCAATCAGGATCACCTTCTCACCCGTGTCAGGATGGAAGGCAGAGTCGTACACATACTTGGCCCTCCACAGCTGGTCTTCGGTCAGCCCTGGAATCACCACGCCGGCCCTGCAAAGGTTATCAGGGGACAAACAGACCACTCTAGGGTGCAGACATGCCCTCCCCAGCCCGCCTGGCTCAGGGGGAGACTTTGGTCCCCAATCTCGGAATAACGGAGCTCCTGGTGTGCAGAAGAGAATCTAATCTTCCTGAAGCGGGGAGCTCCTACTCTTTTTTCCCTTCTAGCCACACAAAGAGGGCTGCCCTGTGTTTCTGCCCAAATACTGGTGGTTTCCAATGGGTCAAAAATGGCTAGGGGGATTGCAAGGGTTTTTCCTCCTGGAGACAAAGGGGATGCCCTCCTACCTCCTTGGGACTCAACTTTGAGCCCCTCTGTTCTTGCAGAGGGTGGCCCAGCAGTGGGATGGGTCCCTGTAGAGGTTTGTGAGGCATAAATATCAAGGCCACTTCCTCAACCCAAACACTCTAAAATCTTTTGGGTTAAAGCTCTGTGCCATAGTTGTCCGTGATTCCAGCAGATAGGGACAGGGAGTGAGGGCTGGGGACAGGTGCAAAGGGTTCTGTATTAACGGCAGGGAATGAGACCTGGGGTATAGGATCAGATGGGGAAGGGGGTCACCTGTAGTTCTGCACGATGTTCCGGGAAGCTTCCAGCTGTGCCCCAGACAGCAGCAGATTTCGGGGGTCAGTAACAGTGAAGAAGTGCCGGGCTCTGCCCAGGAAAGTGCTTTGATCCCAGCGAGGTTCCTGGATGTTGATATTTAAGGGCAACTCACCCATTTTCTGCAGGGCAGGGAGCAGGGTCAGAGGACTCCAAGGAGAGGGTCCCAGGGCTCCACCTGGGGGAGCCTTTGGTGGCCCTGCCCTGGTCTCTGGGCCTATCGCCTATCCCTTCTGGAGCTCAAGGTGACTCCAGATCTGTAAGCAACAGTGGGGGGAGGAGCTGTTTTCTAGGCAATGTCCTGGCCCAGGGACCTACCACCACTGGAGGAGGCTGAGGGTGGAGGGAGGTGGTGGGAGGGGACAGAACCAGGAAAACAGATTTTATGCTCTGGCCTAGTGCAGATTTTCATGAGTGAGAATTTACATGTGTGTGGTTGATGCATGAGCAACAACTAATCCCATGCAGCTACTCTTGTGCTCTGTTTGCGCAAAAGTGCATATTATATGCATCCCACATTTAAGTTCATGTCACTTCAGGCCCCAGCTGCCCTGAGACCTGGATACAAACTCCCAAGGCTACTTGGGAAGGTAGCATAAGCCAGCCCACACCCCAGACCCAGATTGGACGAGAGTGGGAGCTCATTGGCCATCCAAGGGCTTATCTATCCTAGATCTCAAACAGGAACTCTGATGCCAGCTGGGTGTGTGTGTGTGTGTGTGTGTGTGTGTGT